ATGCGCGTGCGTGCACATGTGTGTGGGTGAGGGCTTGTGCCAGTCCTGGGGCTTGAACTCAGGCCTTCTTGTTCTCCCTTGTTTTTTTTTTTCTGCTCTAGGCTGGCGCTGTACCACTTGAGCCACACTTCCACTCCCAATGATTGGCTTAAGATAAAGAAAACAATTCTTTGTCGGGCCCTCTTTGGCATTTCACACACTAGTATTTTGCTGCGCTGGGGCTCTGGCAAGAAGGATTACATGACTGGAAGCAGCGGTGGTTTCCCGTCATCACGCTACCTGGTTGGGCAGGCTGGAGAGTCAAGATCTTACAAGCTCAGATGAACCAATCTTCTCTCAATATTGACTTGGGGAGGGCTGGGGAGTTGAGCTCGAGTAAAAAGAAGATTGATCGCAAGGAAGGAATTCTGTTTTCTATTTTCCTAGCAGCCATGGGAAATCTAACAATAAAAGAAAAATCTGAAATGAAAAGGATTTCACCCAGGAACTACAAATGTGAATGAGGCAGTCTACAGCTGTCCATTACTCTTGACTCCAACCAAAGTATAGTGGGTAGAGTAAGTTTTCCAAATGGCAAACAACATCAAAAAAAGAAAGAGGAGGAGGAGGAGGAAGAGGGGGTGGGGAGGAAATAAAGAAAAAGAAATTGATATTGCTGTTTAAAAATTTTGCTATGTTCCCACCCCTCCAAGTGATTTCAGGATTTGTATGAGTATTCTCCATTTACAGCATATCCAAAATTCTGTGCTAAGAGTGAAAATTCAATAATAGGGGCAAAGCATTTACTCCTCTTTTAATGAGACATTAATGCTGATTTCTTGAAATTACTCAAAATTTAAACTGTGGCAAGCATTTATACAATCCACTGTGCTCTAAGCACTTTAATGGATCAATTATGAAAAGATTATTATATGCTTGCTAGGCTGGTGCTCTACCACGGAGCCATGTCTCTCATATCTGTTCTTTTTTTTTTTTTTTTGTTGGTCGTGGGACTTGAACTCTGGGCCTGGGCGCTGTCCCTCAGCTCTTCAGCTCAAGGCGAGTGCTCTACCACTTGAGCTACAGCTCCACTTCCGGTTTTCTGGTGGTTTATTGGAGATAGGAGTCTCACGGTCTTTCCTGCCTGGGCTGGCTTTGAACCACGATCCTCAGATCTCAGCCTCCTGAGTAGCTAGGATTACAGGCGTGAGCCACCAGCGCCCGGCTGTTCTTTTTTTTTTAATTTAAAGGCACTGCTGATGACATGGTTTCAAACAGGTAGCTTTATTTTCATTATTCTATGTTTTAGGGTTTCCACTTTTAAATTAAGCAATCTCAATCACCTTAAAATAAGGTCAAGAATTAAGATCTTTGCTATCTATCAGAGATTCTACTTATGCAATTTCAGCTGAACAAACTAATATGGAGTAAAAAAAAAAACATTTCTGCTTCAGCCTTGATTAGGAAAGAATATCTGAGCCGTTTTACTATTATAAAAAAAAATCGTATCACAGTATTTCAGACCAAACTGCAGTAAACCATCTGTGATCATATGTATTATTACAGGGCTCACACCAGTAATCCTAAGGACACAGGAGGTTGAGACCTGAGGATCATGGTTTTTCAGCCAGCCTTGGCATAAAACTCCATGAGACCCTAACACCAATGAAAGCTGAAATGTCAGACTAGAGGTGTAGTTCAAGTGGTAGAGTGCTAGTTAGGCGCAAAAAGGCTAAGTGAGAGTATCCCTGAGTTCAAGCCCCACTACTAGCACACAAAACCTTTGCCTTTCTAAAAACCTATATTCCAACTGTACAAATGAGCCCACATGCCCTGAGAGATGAAGGATCATAACTTAGGGTAGGAGAATGATGTCCTGGATTTTTCTACAAATGATATAATCATTTCTTTGCTTTTGTCAACACTAGCATCTTCTCCTCAATGTAAACATCAGGCCCCTTCCATGCCCACACAAAATGGCTCTTCCTCCATTACTCTGGTGGTAGCAGAACCTTACTGGAAGCTAGACTTCTACCCAGGTGGGCCGCAGCTGGTCGGAACAGGAGGGTTCAAGGTAGTTTGAATTGACGGCTGCTTCCCTACTTCCTCCAACCCACCCACGCCCAAGACACCCACCGTGAACTAGACTTCCACATCTGCTTCTGACAGCGCAAGGCCAGCAAACTTCATCCAGTGTTTCAAAGGTTATTTGTAAAATCTTTTTCTTAAGAAAACTTCCTGTACAATCTCTTTCAGAATTGCTTATTCCTGGTATTGATGTTTCCCTTTAATGAATGTGATTTTTTTTTTTTTTTGGTCGATTGTGGGGCTTGGACTCTGGGCTTGGGCACCCTGCACTCTTCAGCTCAAGGCAAGCGCTCTGCCGCTTGAGCCACAACACCACTGTGAATGTGATTTTGAGGAGAGATATTTAATGAATTGATTTAGTCCCTCAACTTATAATAGCTTTTACTAAAACTTTACGTTTAAACTTACAGAAAAATTCAAAAATATCAAGAATTCATGTCAAGTGTAATGAACGGTTTATTCTGAATCATATGAAAGTATACGTTTCTGTTATTATACCTCATCGCCTCTACAAACTTCTGTAAGTCCTCCAATGAGAACATTCTCGTAGGCTGGACATGGTAGCTCCTGCTTATAATCTCAGCTACTCAAAGGCAGAGATCAAGATCGTTGGTTTGAGGCCAGCCTGGACAAGACATGAGACCTCATCTCAACCAACAAGTCAGACTTGGTGGAATTCATTTGTAATCCTATCTACATGGAAGACAGGGTCAAAAAAGGGCAGGGGGAGGTGCATGGCTCAAATGGTAGAGTGGGTGCTAGCCTTAGCAAGTGGAAGGGCCTAAGTTCAACCTTAAATACCACTTCAAAAAAAAGACCATTCTCTTAAATAATCACAAGGTAACCATCAAAACCAGCAAACTGAAGTGCCACGTTAGTACCCTATAATCCAGGTGGCCTACTGGAGTTTCACCAATTATCCCATCAACGCCTTCTGGCACAAAAGATCTGGCCATGGTCTATGCATCAGATTTAATCAACATGCTTCTGCTGTCTCATTAAATTGGAGCAGTTCTATTTTCGCTGGCTTTTGTACTCTTTCATAATCTTTCTTAAATTTGAAGATTACCATTTCAGTAACCTCCATTCGGAATTATCTAATGACTTCCTCACAATCAGGTTTTGGTTATGCGTGTTAGGCTCAACTATCAGAGGAGTGACACTGTATTTCTCCTGGGGCACCCTTCTGGTAATCCATGATTATATTGTGTCCCATTGCGAGGAAAGGTAATTTCATCACTTGATTAGGGGAGAATCTGCTAGGGCTCTAGGTAAATTCCTTTTTCTTTGTAATTGAGAGGCATTTTGTGAGGAAATAATTTATAAGTGTGCACATGGCCCATTCCTCACCAACCTTTTTCCCCATTAACTTTGTCATCTGCTGTTATTTCAAGGAGAAGCTGGAAATACCAAAACTTCATGTGTTCCACCCCAAGTTTCTACTTTGGTCATAACCATCTCACAGCTGGTATATCTTGGTCACAATTAATGAGCCAACAGAAATACAGTGATTAATAAGAAAAGTGCATATTTTGTTTAACTCTCCTTAGTTTCCCCTTAACATCGCTTCCTCCTTGATGATCCTAGCCAGGACATCACGGTACAGTTAGTAATCGCATTAGTCTCCCCTGGCTACTCCTGGTTGTGAGATTTTCTTCCAGCTTCCTTGCTCCTTTCCCCACTGTATTTTTATTAAAATTGTATTGCATAAATTAAGTGTACACAGGGGTTTCACTGCAATATTTTTTGGGGGGTCCGGTCGTGGGGACTGAACACTGGGCCTGCGCGCTGTCCCTCAGCTCTTCAGCTCAAGGCTAGCGCTCTACCACTTAAGCCACAGCGCCACTTCCGGCTTTTTTCTTATGTGGTGCTGAGGAATCGAACCCAGGGCCTTGAGCATGCAAGGCAAGTGCTCTGCCACTGAGCCACCTTCCCAACCCCTCACTGCAATATTTATAACTTGTATGTGATGTACTTAAAAAATATGAATGGCTTTCCAAAGTGGTTGAACAAGTTTACACTCCCACCAACAATGCAGTAAGGTTCCCTTTTGTTCACATCCCTTCCAGCATCTGTTGTTATTAGAGTTCTTGATTATAGCCATTCTAACTGGGGTGAGGTGGTATCTCAGTGTTGTTTTGATTTTTCCAGAGCTCCCCTATGACCCAGCAATCCCACTTTTGGGAATTTACCTGAATGATCACAAACAAGACCATACTAAAGCTACCAGCACAACTAGGTTTATTGCAGCATTATTTACCATAGCTAAGATATGGACCCAACCCAGATGCCCCTCAGTAAATGAATGGATCAAGAAAATGTGGTAAATATACACAATGGAATTCTTTGCCTCCATCAGAAAGAATGACATAGCCCCATTTGTTAGGAAATGGAAAGACTTGGAAAAAATTAGTGAAGCCTGGGCCCAAAGAAACATAGGTCCCATGGTTTCCCTTATCCGCATTAACTAGTATATGTCTGAGACAAGCAGAAAGGCCAGGTAAGATGATGTTAGGCGAAATGAACCCCAAGATAAGGACACAAGTGGTTTTTCTTTCTTGCTATTGTTCCTAACGTATTTATAAGGGGATTTTTTTGTTTTGTTTTATATGTCCCTCCCCCACAGTATAACCCGTTTTCACTGTATTTGATGTTGGTATAATTTGGGGAGAGGAAGGAAAAAAACAAATTGTTTAAATAGGGATACAGGTGGACCCATTGCAACAATGAGATGTACAAGATGCTATGTCAAAAAATGAACTTTACAACTTTGGTGGAGGGGATGGGAGGGGGTAGTTGTAGAGATGGGAGGGCAGGGATGGTAGGGGAAAAACAAAGGAAGAGTCAATAATGCTTGATAAGAAATGTACTCATTACCTTGCTCATGTAATTGTAACCCCTCTGTACAGTATTTTCACAATAAAAAAAATTTAAAAAATATGAATGGCTTCACAAATTTGTGTGACATCCTTTCCTGGGCCCAAGCTAACCTTTTGTGTATTGTTCCAATTGTAGTAAGTGTGCTGCCTGGATAAGTTTCCTGTGGCTGCTGAAACAAATTACCAAAAATTTAATGGCTTTAAAAAAACACACACACAGGAAATTATTCTTGTACAGTTCAGAGGGCAGAGCTGGGAACCCGTGGCCCATGTCTGTCATTCTAGCTACTCAGGACGCTGAGATCTGAGAATTGTGGATGGAAGCCAGCTTGAGTAGGAAAGCTGGAAGGGGAGCTGTGGCTGAAGTGGTAGGTCACTAGTCTTGAGAGGGGGGAAAAAAGTGCTCAGAGACAGCATGCAGGACCTAAGTTCAAGCCCCAAGACTGGCTCACATACGCATGCGCGCACCCGTGCGCGCGCGCGCGCGCGCGCGCGCACACACACACACACACACACACGAGGACAGAAGTCTAAAATGGTGCCATCAGCTATCACCCCTTGGAATGCTCCGGGGAGAGTCACTGAGTCTGTAGCCCCAGTGGCTACTGGCCACCCTCACCCGGCTTGTGGCTCATCACTTCTCAGAGTCCATGCAGATGTTCCAGGACGAGTTACCTCAAGATCCTCAAGTCTATCTACAAAGCTGCTTTTTCCAAATAAAGTCCATTTTCAGGCTCTGGGAGCGGGAGAGTACCATTCAGCCCGCAATAATGACTTGACAGCTCTGAGAATTACTACTGAGCGCACTTGTAAGGCTGTGATTTAATCAGCTTCATGTCACACTGGGGCAGTGTGTGTTTCCTCTTTGGAAGGGAAGGGGAGAGCGCACAGGTGAAGCGCCGTTCACACTCATCACGGGGGAGGCTGGCCTTGCTAACTGTCTTGACAAAGAGTCCGTCTGGTTGCTCGGCTGGAATATACTGTGCTCTTCTGAGAAAAGGCAGTGTGAGCAGAATGGCATAAGAAATGGGGAGCTGCCCTCTCTTGAGGATGGCATAGCTAGGAAATTACTTGCAATTCTTCTACAGGGGAGATTGGCTGATTCCCCCAATGACAGTAATGCTCTGTTTTTATCAGTGTGGCTCAGGTATTTACACTAGGCATCATCTCAACACTGCTTTATTTTGCTGTTCAAATTGTTTGAGCTCTGATCACTGGAAATCTTTCAGTTAGTATCTAAGACCCTTGACACAAGGCCATCATTTTGTTTGTGTGTGTGTGTGTGTGTGTGTGTAATAGAAGTTGAATTCAGGGCTTAGGCAAGGTTCATGAGCTTTTGTGCTACCTAGCGCTCTATCACTTGAGCCACATAGTTCCACTTCTGGTTGTCTGGTGGTTCACTGGAGATAAGAGTCTCTCAGACTTTCCTGCTTGGACTGGCTTGGAACCTTGATCACCAGATCTCAGCCTCCTGAGGAACTAAGATTACAGGCTCTGGGAGCCACTGATGACCTGCCTCCATCACTGTGGGGTTTTTTGGTTTGTTTTTGTTTTGAACTCAGGGCTTGGGCACTGTCCCTGAGCCTCTCTGTGCTCAAGGCTAGTGCTCTACCACTTGAGCCACAGTGTCACTTCTAGTTTTCTGGTGGTTAATTGGATATAAGAGTCTCATGGGGAGTTTCCTGCCTGGGCTGGCTTTGAACTGCGATCCTCAGATCTCAGCCTCCCGAGTAGCTGGGATTACAGGTGTGAGCCACTGGTACCCAGCCATGACTGTGTGATATTCCTTAGTTTCTGGTACTACAAGAAGCTCTAGGGGGAAGAATGGAGAGGGGGGAGAGGCATAGTGGGAGAAAAATGAAGGAGGGGTAACAATTTTCAACAAGAAATATACTCATTACCTTATGTAACTGCAGCCCCTCTGTACAGCACCTTTACAACAAAATTAATTTTTTTTAAAAGCAGCTCTAAAAGCTTGTACTGCCCACTTGCTGCCCCAGTACTGGGACCAGGCACTTCTCCAAGGAGCTGATGCCGACCGAGTACAGGACAAAGGCATCAGACACTAAGCTCATCACCAGGGAGGACTTTTCCATTAAGCTTCCACTGCCTTGAGCCTCAGCTGGGCATGTGTAATAATCTGGTATGTGCATATATTTCTGAACAGTTCTATAACTAACCAGCCGTAGCTACATACTATGGTAAACAAGAATCCATGCTAATGTCTTCGACCCCCTTCATTAATACAGGATCCACTTTTCCTTGCTTACCCATAACCACCCCCTACAAGAAGCCTGGTTTCCATTTCTGTCCTCATTTCTGTGAATGTACATATAGACTATATACATGTAGACAAGTTCCAGAACTGTAACTCTTCCTTGCTGCCCATGGGTAACACTTATCAGGGAGAATATGTGCATGTGTCATTTTTGCTCTCTAATCTTACAGATCGCACTCACTTCCAAGTTGCTGTATTCTAGCCCTGTATTCCTCCACCACCATCACTCCTTCAGTAAGACTGGGTCATACATTTGTAACACACTTAAATTCTTCTGCCATATTTGCATGGTGACCTGGGATTCCTGATTCCCAAAGTGTTTGAAATCTGTCTATGTACATCAGGGTTCACTTTTTTTGGGGGGGAGGTCTGGTTGTGGGGCCTGAACTCTAGGCCTGGGCGCTGTCCCTCAGCTCTTCAGCTCAAGGCTAGTGCTCTACCACTCGAGCCACAGCACCACTTCTGGCTTTCTTCTTTTTGCTTATGTGGTGCTGAGGAATTGAACCCAGGGCCTCAGGCATGCAAGGCAAGTGCTCTACCACTGAGACACCTTCCCAGCCCAGGGTTCACTCTTTTTTTTTTTTTTCCTTGTCAGTCATGGGGCTTGAACTCTGGGCCTGGGCACTGTCCCTCAGCTCTTCAGCTGAAGGCGAGCGCTCTACCACTTGAGCTACAGCGCCACTTCCGGTTTTCTGGTGGTTTATTGGAGATAGGAGTCTCACGGTCTTTCCTGCCCGGGCTGGCTTTGAACCGCGATCCTCAGATCTCAGCCTCCTGAGTAGCTAGGGTTCACTCTTTTTGCTGTGAAGTCCTGTAGGTTTTCTATTTCCTGTGATGGCATCATATTCACCCTGAAAATCCCCCGGGCCCACCTGTTCAACCCTCCCCATAACCACCCATGGCAGCAGGAACCACTGATCTTCTTACCTACTCCAATTATGCCATTTCCAGAATGTCATTTTACTTGATTCCTGCAAAATTATCCGACTGGCTTCTTGAACCTAGTAATGTGCATTTAAGACTCACCCATGGCTTTGCAGGGCTTCCTAACTCATTTCTTTTTAGCAGCTAATATTATTCCACTGTCTGGATATGGGACAGAGAACAGTTGATATCCATTTCTCCACTGAACAGCTTGGCTACTTTCAACTTCAGATGATTATTCACAAGGCTGCTATGAACATTTGTATGCAGGTTTTGTGTAGGTAAGTTAGCATGACTGGTAGTATGGTTAAGACCAGATCAAGTCTTGTAAGGAAACTGCCAAACTGTTTTCCAAAATGGCTTGTGTCATTCTGCCTTCCTATCAGCAGTGGAGGGGAGATTCTGTGGCTCCACAGTTTGGGCTTTGTCAGAGGTTTTAGCCATTTTAAAATGTGAGCACTAAGCGAAGGAAAGGATGACATTGTCCAAGATGCACTGTATTCATTACCTGACTTATGGAATTGTAACCCCTTTGTGTAACTCATCAATAATAACAATAGAAAACAATTTTTTAAAGAGGTGAGTACTTAGCTGGGTGCCAGGGGCTCATGCCTATAATCCTAGCTACTCAGGAGGCTGAGATCTGAGGATCAAAGCTCAAAGTGGCCCAGGCAGGAAAGTCCTTGAGCCTCTTATCTTCAATAAACCACCAGAAAATTGGAAGCGTCCCTGTGGCTCAAGTGGTAGAGCGCTCGCCTTGAACTGAAGAGCTCAGGGACAGCACCCAGGCCCAGAGTTCAAGCCCCATGACTGACTAAAAGAAAAAAAGGTTAGTACTTGATACCTTGATATTCCTTTCATATGGAATTTATAATGACACATTATGTTGAAAAACTTCTTTTTCTTTGCCTATCCTGGGGCTTGATCTCAGGGACTGAGCACTGTCACTTAGCTTTTTCATTCAAGGCTGGCGCTCTACCACTTGAGCCACAGCTCCACTTCCAGCTTTTTGGTGGTTAATTAGTCTCTCAGATTTGTCTGCCAAGTCTAGCTTTGAAACCATAAGCCTCAGAATTCAGCCTAAGTAGCTAGGATTATATATTATATTGAGCCACTGGTGCCTGGCAAAGTGGTTATTTTTTAAAGTGAGAGAGGAGGAGATAAAAGGAAATAACAGAGGCAATAAATTTACTCAAATACACTCACTGCTTACCACGAGGAACCCCCTGTACTCGCATATATAAGGAGATGGCGTGGTTTGTCTGTGTCTTCCCTGTCCTCTGAGGGGAGAGTGGACACAGACACTTTCCTGCACCATTAGGAACCAATGTGCATTGCTGGACCCAGAAAAAGAACAGTGATTTCTCACTTAAAATCCCAGGAAATGGCTGTGTGAGAGCATTTGGCATTTACATTTTGAACTGCTTAATCATTCCTTTTATAGAGTAGCTGAAGGTTATTTTGTCTCTCTGGCATTTTCTTATGTCTCAGCTGCTTCCTCTGTCATCCAAGGCTCAGTTTCAAGGTTAAAATCCATTATGATAATCACAGCCAACCAAAGGCATCCCAACTCCAAAACCGCCAGAACTTCCTGCTTTTCCCATCAATTTCACTCCAGTTAAAAAGGCCAGTTAGAGGAAGAACGTTGGAATAAATCTGAGCTCACAAACTCTACTACCCATTTCCTCACACTTTAAGGCTTTTTATGACATTTGCTGTCCTCACACTGTATTATACAGTATAAAGGTGACAGCTACATAAATATCTTCAGGAATTAAGTGACTTCACTTTATAAAACTTTCAAAGGTTCCACAGGCTTTGCCTAAATAACTATTATCCATAGTCCATCTCAGATATTTCTATTACCTCCTTTTTCTCCAATAGCTCCCCCAAAACCAATGAAGAAAAATAACCAATGGGAATAGAAATTATTTCTATTATTAAACCACCTCTAG